GATTGAAGGAATTTGACACAATTTTTTTTCTTTTTTTATATATATAATCAAAATGTTAAAAGTAATTATAAGGGCACAATACAAAGATAATGAATCATATATATATATATATATATCAAATAAAAGCATTTAAAATTTAATTAATTTTGTTATAGTTAAAGTCTATACATTAATACTTATTAATTTGTGGTCTTTTTGTAAACATTCCTAAATAAAGTTCACGGATGCTGCCCCTAACCTTCACAAAAAATTCTTGGTCCCCCAACTTGAAATTCCTGATTCCGCCTCGGGGGGGTGCTGATCGATTATGGATAGAAGGATATAAGACCCATTATCCGACCTAAAATCGGCCGAGTATATATAAAATCTAACTTCCGTAATTACTATCATCCCATAACAATTTAACTTACCAAAAGTCGTACCAAATGGATCGGTTTCGGGTCCGAAAGATCTACGGAATGTAATATTTACAAGCCGACTACTTGCACTAAAAGACATAACAAATTATATACATTGGATTGCCTATGATCGAGGCAAATAGAGCATTGAAAGTGACTCCAAAATAAGTATTAACCAGAGAAGAATGTTATATATATATCTTTGTATTATTATTTTTGGAGGCAAATTATAAACCTCTCAAACATCTCACCTCTCATTTGCCTCTCATTTGCCAGCTGGAAAAAAATTGATGGTTAGAGTGTTGGCCGTTGGGAACGGTGAGTATGTGTCAACTGACGCAGCTGCAGTTCTTGTTTACATTGTGGGATTGATTGTTTTGTCCGTTTCGATCGTGACTATGCTTATCTTTGCTTGTGCCGACGACATCAAGCCGCGGAAGAGATGGGGTAGCAGTGGTCACGGCGGTGGTGTATATGGCGGTGAAGGTGCTGGTTGCGGCGGTGGTTGTGGCGGTGGCGGTGGCGGTGGAGGTGGAGGTGGAGAATGAGATGTCGTCGGTACTACTTGATTATTGGAGCAATGCCATTTTGGTCTTGTGTTGATTATACAATGTTATTACGTAGCTATTCTTGATTTTTCATTCCTTCAAGAAATTAAATATATATATATATATATATATATATATATATATATATATATATATATATATATATATATATATATATATATTGTGTATGTGTCGGTTGGAAATGTTTATCCAAATAAAATCCCGTGGTGTAATTGTGGTGTTCAATTATTATTTGATCTCGTTTTATAAATGAATTTCTCAGAGATAATTTAATGGAGTTATTAAATGGGATATTAAAACTCTTAACCACAATTTTGAAATTTTTGGTAGTCTGAATTAAGAAAAAATAATAAATACTAATCACTCCACTGGAGTTATCATATGAGTCTTGTATTTTAATTAATGTTGTAAAAAGTGGTAAATGGACCGGAGGCGGTTAGGCACCGACTTACGATTAATCGATGCGGCGGTGATTAATCGATGACAAATTGAAAATAAATTGATTTTCCAAATTTAATATAATATATTTCTAGATATTATTTATAAATATTCAAAATATATGTAAAAAATATTTAAAAATTTATCTCCATTATGTATATATCCTAATAACGTAATAAAGTTTAATAATAATAAGATCATAAAACATACATATCCTAATAATATATAAATAGAAAGCCAAATTTTTTGAATATAAATTTATTCTTGAACATTCCAGACATACATCATTAGGTTCTTTAACAATAACCGATAACATAAACAAAATAAAGCTATACTCATATTTTTATTAAAATCCCAATTTTTATTTTAAATTTAAAAAAAAAAAAACAATTTTTGACCGATTTTTTGTTGATTTTTGCCAACGAAGTTTGACCCACCTTCAAGGTCGGACCGCCTCAGGCCGCCTAAAACAGTCTCACATGCAAAAACTCAATTTTGCAAACCTTTACACTAAAATCGTAAATGTTTGGGACCGCCTCCGCATCGGCCGATTTTTAGAACATTGATTTTAATAAGGGGTAAATGGCAAATAGGCCTATGGCAGGAGCACTTAATTAAAAAATGGACATCCAATTTTATTGTCTTCCAAATAAATTCAGTTCATTCAAAATTATTTGCTAATAAGGAATACCCTTTTATATATACCAAAATTACCCTAAATTCCTTGAAACTTCAATTCAACTACAATTTCAAGATTTACACCTCAATTTAGCCCAATTTCACCAACTAACCAATTTTGAACATGATTCCAATTTTGACCCGCCACCACCAGAGACCGCTGTTGACCGCCAGTTTCCGGTGTTGATTTTTTTTTTTTTGAAAACTTGTTTTTATTAAAAAAAATATTTTAATTAATATTACTTTCTTGGCTGCTATATTACTGTTAACTGTCGGAAACAATAATCTAACTGTCTAAGACAGTAAATTACTGCATTTCCTATATTAATTAATATTATCGTTGTGGCCTACAATTTTGGTGTCTTCGACCGTAGTATTACTGTCTCATATAATAATATTATTGTTTAAGACAGTAATATTAGTAATATTACTGTTCGGGAAAGTAATATAGATACATAGATACAGATTATTTATTCAGGGTTGTAATTTTTTTTTTATCACAATAATTAAATCGTAAATTAATACTAACTACATAGATAAAATTAATACTAACTACATAGATACAAATTATTTATTCAGGGTTGTAATTTTTTTTTTCCGATTTAAATGTTTCATCATTCGAAATCAAGTGTTTACATAAGATTACATTATCAAAAAAAAAAAAGTTTAAATACAGTTTACATCCCTAAAATATACCCTCTGTAACGCTTACTCCCTAGATTATCATTTGTAACACTGACCCCAAGCATAATTTAATTTGTATTTTAAATTCTAATACCTTAATAAAATTATTATGTTGAAAGGAATAACTAAAAATATAATTAAATTATACAACTAAAAATATATGTTGAATAATGCAATATTTAAAAATTTAAAAATATGTTCTTGCATTTGGTGCATATTCAATAAATGACATATAATTGTCGTTGGAACAATTAATCGAATAAATTGATATTGATTAATTTTAAGAAATCAATGCATAACTACTAGCAATTTTGAGTATTTAAATTTATTTTAGTTCATTAATTTCTTAAAATATATTTTCATTCATTATTATATAATATGTATTACTTTTTTCCAATAATTTAATTTAGTTAGTTTTTATTTTCTAATGATCCGATAATTATTAGATTGTCATGTTTATTATTTTTAAAATTTTAAAATTTAAAATAATTATTGTTGAGAGGTAAGTATTGCAAATGATACTCTAAGGCGATAAGTGTTACATAGGCTATATACTTCAATGGTGCAAAGTGTATTTAACCCTAAGAAAAATCATACGGAAAAATAAAAGGAATAAAATCAATAAACTTTTATAAATAACTTATTTTTATAAAATAGTAGCATAATATAGTTGTCAATTTCGTATGCTCACTTATGATTTATACAATTAATGAATTTCATAAACCGAATTTGTAAATTTTCAAAATTAGGCATGATGACAAAATGTTTTTGATGATTTATTTCCACCAATTAATTTGTCACATGTGATGAAATTGAGGACATGACATCAATTTAAATTGCCAAATGTCAAGCAATTAAGGTTGAAATTCATCTTTTATATATTATATAGATTAAAGAGATGGGCTTATTGATGAAAGATATATAAGCAGATATAGTCATTGAACGTAGAATAATAAAGATGGTTGATCAGGTGCCTATACATGAATATTCAAATAATTAAATGATTTTCCTGTAATTAATTATGCATGGAATGTGAAATATATAATGAACTGAGCATGCAATAAGATTTTGCTTTGATTAATTTTGTTGAGTTTATTGCAATTAGTACCCTTGTATCATATCGAATTGCTAAAATACTACCCTATATTATTTTATTGGCAAATTCCCCCTGTAATTTAAGTTTTTTAGCAATTAATACCCATGTTTGGAGTGAGTGGTAAAACAAATCGATTCATAGGGGGGTTCTTGTCAATAAAATAACGCAGGATATTTTTTTTAGCAATTTGATATAACACAGTGGTACTAATTGCAATAAACTCTAATATTGTTAACATTTTCTTCATGGACCACACTATCGGCGTATCGGTGTAATGTTTCTTGACCAATAGATATTTTTAAAATTTTCATATATATATATATATATATATATATATATATATATATATATATATATATATGGAGGATTTCATAAAAGATAAGATAAAGAACAAGAGAATTCTACGAAAATAAAATTAACATAAGGGTGTTTAGTGCAAGTTTTCCTTAATGGCAGAGTTTATATCGTTTAAGTGATGATGTAATCATAAATCATGCAAAATATCCTGCAATATTCTATAATAAGTGAACACCAATTAAATCAAATCACAAGGTAATATTTGCAATTTAATCAAACATTAGGTATAATTAAATCAGATATTTTGAGGACTCTCTCTAAAATTTACTGCATATATATATTACAATAGTAAAATGTAATATTCACGATACAAAGTGATTGTGTAAACAAATAGAAGAGAGAGGCAAAAGAGTTGCAAAATTAAGTTGGAAAGCAATGTCTGACGAAGAAAGCATTGGAGGAGTTAATAGAGAAGACGAAAGTGTTTCCGGCAATCACCTTTATCGGATGCTCGCCATGGGGCTTCAGGTAAAATTATTTAGGTTTTCATTTTTGTTTAGTCTTTTGTAATTTAGAGACTACTTAGGTGGTGTTTGCAAATGTTTTTTCTAAAGTGATTATGAGTTTTTTAGTGTTTATAAAACACATAATACCCCGTTGTACTACATATAAATACAAAAACCGCCATACTGTTACATTTTTTTCGAAATATGACGAAAATACCCCTCCCTGCTAAAGCCCATACATATAAATGATCTATATTTTTAACATTTTCAGTCAATTTTACTTGAGAAATACTGGCATTTGATAAAAAGTATATAGGTTTTCATTTTTTCAGCTTTGTTTTAATTTTGTTTGGATTTTTTAGGTGGTAGGTGGAGTTGTTCCATTTGGTATGGAGATCACCCTACGAGTACGAAGGCATCCGAGTTCTCTCCACGATATTTTCCTTGCACTGGTACCGTGGACGTCTTTGCTATCGGTGATTGTGGTCTGTTTATGGTGCTATATAAACAGGGGGAAGAACAAAGGAGGAGGCATGGTTCGGCACCTTCCACCAGCATATAAGGACATGATTCTTGTCTTTGCTCTTCTTCATATGGGCTTCAGCTTCTTTTCTTGGTTGAAGGCAATCAAGAATTGGGAATTCGGCGATCAATTTACTGTATTTCCATTAACCTTTGCTACTTTGCTTCTCGTTGTTTCGGTCGCAGACCTTCGGTGAAGTAACCACTAACGGCAAGGGTAGAGGGCAGTTGTCCCCAAGAAAAAAGACACCATCTAATCTCCCCCATTCAATTTTTATTTATTCTCTATTCTTTTTATAAACTTAGATATTCTTGTCTATTTGTTGTTACTTGTTACAATATATATGTTCCTGCTGGATATTATACTTTTAAAATAAATTTTAGAGATATATACTTATATTAGCATTTTCACCTCCATACAAATATATCATTTAGCTCAAATATTTTTCCTTTTCTTCTACATAATATTGAAAATTATAATTTTTTTTTTTGAAAACAATCGGCCGTTGTCATGTTTAAACATCCGTAGAAATCCGTAGTAATCGCAGTAACCCATAGTCAATTGTACTGCCGTAATCATCTATAGACACCCATAGAAACTTGTTGTAATCGTCGTAAATCATAGTCATATTGTACTTCAAAATTCGAAAACCCTAACTCCCTCTTTGAACCCTAGCCGCCAGCCACCATAGACAACCATAGACACCCACGAAATCCATAGTCATCCAAAAATAAAACCCTAGATCTACAACCACTATCCCCATAGCCATCAAAATAAAAATCTAGATCTGCAAAACCGTCACCATAGCCGCCGCCACCTCCATATTAATCGCCTCTCGGCCCTTCCCTATCCCCATAACCAGCCCCTTGCGACCACCACCGCCCATAATTGCCTCCATAACCGCCGCCACTAATCACCATAGCCGTCGCCATTCACCGTGACCGCTTCCATAACAACTCCAACGTTACCGCCGCCTCCATGACCACCCCCACCGTCGCCATAGCCGCCCACTTTAACTAGGAGCAAGAGAGATAGAGATGGAGATATATTGAGATGGAGAGAGAGATAAAGATAGAGATAGAGAAAGAGCAGCAGAGAGAACAACGAGAGAAAAAAAAAAAACATATATGGGTTGGAGAGACGTAAATAGAGGTTATATTTAGACTATGAGGGCGTTAGGGATAAAAAAAATTAGAGATGTGAGACATATTGTATTTTGAAATAGGGGTGTATTTAAAAAAATTAGTTTGTGGTTGTCATTTAGTTTTAATTAAGTTTCCTACTAGGGAGCCAAGCATATTAACCCCTTAAATTAGAACTAAAATACAAAACTAACTAAATATTTGTTTTACATCATTTATAAAATTTATTCCAAAATTGCCCCTTCACTCACAAATTCGAAATGTGCATTAAGTAAAATTCAAAACACATTTATCATTTTATGTTATGGATTTAATCTCTTGATTTCTTCGTCTAAAATATTTTATTTTATTTTTATTTTTATTGATTTTTTCATTTTTATTTTCTTCTTTTTTGGTTCTAAACTTTTTTACATTATTATAAATAATTTGTTTTCCTTATTTTTAACATTATAGTAAAGATTACGAAAAAAACATATTCTTTTCGTTTTTGTTAAATAATACAGCAGATTGTAATCATATTATGATGTAATATGGTGTACTGTGGTATTATTTAACATTTTTTATTTTTTATTTTTTATTTTGCATCTCAAATTTTAGTTTTTATTTATTTACGTAGAACACGTTTCTCTTTTTGTTTTGTTTTTTTTCATTTTCGTATTTTTTCATTATTATAAAAATCTTTTTTTTTTTTCCTATTTTTCTACATAATATTGAAATTTTATGATTTTTTTTTACTTTTTTTTTTCCGGTCATAGTCATCTATAGACACTCGTAGGAACCATAGTAATCTGTAGTCACACACAGACATCTGAAACCTTAACTCCTCCTTTGAACCCTAGCCGACAGACACTCATAGACACTTACACCCATAGACACTTACAGACATCTGTAGACATCAAATTGAAAAAAATTAGATTCGCCCCACCAAACCCTAGATCCGCCCCAACACCACCACCATACCCCACCACCGCCATCGCATCCGACATATCTACTCCCACCATACCCTCCACCGTCATGCCGCCATCTCTGCTATCGCCATAACCGTGCTTCTACAACCGTGACCACCACAACCATACTCGGCCACCGCCATCACAACCGCCATATCTACGCCCACCATACCTACCACAGTCATGCCGCCATCTCCGCTTTCACCATAATCGTGCATCTACAATCACGACCACCACCGCCTCCCTCGACCATGGAGTGGATAGCGGCGAGGGAGAGTGAGAGAACAAAAGGGCGAGAGAGGGAAAGAGAGAGCGAAAGTGAGGGGTAGAGATAACGAGAAAAATAGAGATAATGAAAAAAAACATATTTGGGTTGGAGGGACGTAAATAAAGGTTATATTTAGAGTATAAGAGCAAGTTAGGAATAAAAAAAATTAGAGATGTGGCGCATATCTTATTTTAATATAGGGGTGTATATAAAAAAATAGTTTGTGATTGTCATTTAATTCTAATTAAGTTTGGTGTGAGTGACACTTACGTATTAACCCCAATAATTTAACTTCCATTACATATACTTACGTGTCTTGTAATGAATAGGTCCCATTTTTTTTTCTCCCAACACCGCTCATTAAGAATTTAGGACTTATTAAAAATAAGTTCATGATCTATTTATTTGTAAGGGGTCCATATCAAAAAATCTTTTACAATAAAAGTTCAGACAATGTCCAGATATATGTAAAAGACTAAGATACTCTCTCACATTTTAATATGCTCTAATTTAATGATTTAATCCTATTTAACTTAAATTTGACCCCAAGTTTCACCAATTATTCAATTTTGACTCCTAACCAAAATTTGACTCCAATTTCGACCGTTGTTGCCGTTGAACGCCGCTCTCCGGCGTTGACCTTTTTTCTTAAATCTTTTTTTCATGAATGTTTGTTGGCTCGTTTAAATAGAAATAATACAATAGTAGACAGTAATATTATTACGTTGACCGGTCAACAACTCAAACAAAATAATAAAGCCAAAAAAAATTATTGATATGGTTGACAATAATATTATTGCGTTTACAGTAATTGTACTGTCAACGCTCAGCGGCGGGAGAAAAAAAATTCAAGGTCAGAAACAGACGGCAAAAAAAAAAAAGCAAAGTTTGAAAAACGAAAAAAGTAAAAATTGAATTTTGTGGTCAAAATTGATGAAATTAGAATTAAATTGAGGTTTCAACTAAGGATTGAGTTTAAAGGGTTGGGTAATTTTGCCATATACATTAAGTTTGTCTTTATTTATAATATATATTAAATGGATGAGCTTATTGGCAAAAGAGATATAGCCCCTGAACCTAGAATAATAAAGATGGTTGGTCATGGATTTTTTCATATAAACCCATTGAGTTAAAAGAGGGACATTCTACTTTTTTGTTTTACAAATATATCTACCACCATTTGAACTTATTTCCTAACAAGAAAAACTCTTTTATTTATACCAAAATTACCCCTAACTCTCTGAAACCCTATTTTGACCCCAATTTCATGATTTAAACCATAATTTTGCTCACTTTCACCAATTAGCCAATTTTGATCTCTAATCCAATTTAGACCATTGTACCGTGACTGCTGACATCTGCGTCCGTTTTTTTTTTCTGAATTTTTTTTTCGGACCTGTCAACGCATGCGTTGCTAAATCTCTGCTCTAGAAAGCTTTACATGCAACAACGAAGGCGGTTTAACCCACAACTTCCCTTTCATTACTTCTTTCATGACGAGAGAATCGTGTCCGCATCAGTCGAAGTGGTGGAAGGCCCCCCTAAGTCAAAGGGGAAAGCTTATTGGCACCTCTTTCCAAGAGATATGATTTGGGATCTGAATCGAATGAATGAGAGTGATGCGGCAGCTAGTTTCCCAGACATAAAAGCTTGTTATGGGCGAAAAAATAATTAATACACCCTATAAAAGAGGCGGCAAAGAATTTAAGTGTCAAAGAAGTTTCTATGCTCCTCTCTTTAACCGATATTGGGTTTTTTTTTTTTTTTTTTGCATTTTACTATTTTCATTAATATTACTGTCTTAGATAATAAAATTACTGTAAAAAACAGTAATATATGTCAAAGACATAGTATAATGTATCAATATTAATACTAATGTCCTAACTGCAATATTATTTTCTCAGACAGTAATATTGATGTCCAAGACAGTAGTATTGTTGTTAACACAGTAATATTAATGTATTAAATAATTTTATTGTCATGACCTGTAATATTATTGTCTCAGACAATAGTATTACTGTTTCAGACAATAATATTATTGCAAGACTATAATATTACTGTTTGGCACAGTAATATTAGTGATATTACTCATTTGTCCTTCAATATCACTGTTTGAGACAATAATATTATTGTTAAGATAGTAATGTAGAAATAATAATTGAAAAAACAAAGTCAACGCCGGCAACAGACCGAAAAAAATAATTCAGAAAAAAATGTTCAAAACAAAAAAGTCAACGCCGAACACCGGCACCGCCGTCCGGAAAAACATTTAGGAAAAAAAAATCAAAAAATTGTGATGTGAAATATTTGTTAAAATTGGGATCAATGTTTAATGTTGGATAAATAAGGTTGTAATGGATGAAATTGATGAAAATTATATTACGAGGACTAATTTGAACAAAAGATATGAAGATGAATTTAATTGCGAAACTATTTTTTATCTAGGTATATAGACATTTAAATCCCTTACCATGAGCTTATATGCAATTCACCTATTTTATATTATATACAATCATATTCCTCCAATTCAACACAGCTTAACATATCTCGATTCGAGAAATCAAAGATGAGAGGATCAAACCATTTCCTCCTACTCCTTTTCAAATTCACAAATATTTATCTTTTTCAAATGTCGTTTGAGTTTCAAAAATATCATTTCCACTCAAATGTGATTTTGACTATTTTCTAATTTGAATTTGGCAGATTCCAAAATATGGAATTTCTAGCTTTCTAATTCAATTTGAATTGTCAGCATTGAATGTTGGATTAGAAAGATACGCATAAATAAATGAACATCGCCAACAATTTTGATATTTTATATTATCTAAAACTCAAAATGAAACTCATTCACACGTAACTTCGCCACCGGACATCCAATCTGGCCAATTCAAGTTGGATTAGAAAACTAACTCAAAGAAATACAATTTTCGTGGCTTGAATTTTGCCAAAATTAGAATAGAAAATATTGAAAATCACGTTTGAAGTCAAAATATCAGCAAAATTAAAATAACATTTAACATTTTAATTTTCGAATCTATAAATAATTCAAAAGAAGACCGACTTGAGTTTGTGGTCCAAACAAGACTTCTAATTTATTACATTCTTCTTATACAATTTATTAAATTATACAAAAGACAAAATGCTAATAATACAATAATCAACACAACTTGCTCCTATAAAAAAACAAACAAAATTAGTTACACATCTCAATCATCCAAGAAAAATATAGTGGGCTTCTTCGGCTCGGTAATCTCGACCGTCCCTTCGAGCATCTTAGCCACCTTCCCCATCGACGGTCGACTCTCCGCCTTGTGTTGAAGGCACCACATCGCAGTCTTGAGCATCCGATTGATCATATCGAAGTGCTCTTTACTATCGTAGATGTGCTTGATCCGACGGTCCAAAATGTCCTCCACATTCATCTCCGTGAACACCTTATCGAAAGCCCACCTCGGAAAGAACCATTGATCGCTCTCCACCTTCGGATCCAACTGCGTACTATTCCTCGACCCGCTCACGATTTCAAGAAGCACCAATCCGTAGCTATACACGTCCGCCTTCGAAGTTATCGGCTCGGGCTGGGCCCACTCGGGCGCCATGTACCCAGGGGTCCCGCGTATTTTCGAGACGCTAATCATGTCCTCCTTCTTCTTCAACTTGGCAAGCCCGAAATCCGACACTTTAGGGCAAAAGTCGTCGCCTAGGAGTATGTTTTCGGGCTTGATGTCGCAGTGTAGGACCCACTCCAAGCATTCCTCGTGCAAGTACGCTATTGCCCTCGCCACCCCCAATGCGATACGGTACCGTATATTCCAATCAAAGATCGGTTTGTTATTCGAACCCATGATTGGCTCGCCCGTTTCTGACGGGTCGGCTCCGACAGTTTGGAACAAGAACTCGTCTAGCGACCCGTTCGAAACATACTCGTAAACTAATATCCTTCTACCCTTTTCGGCACAAAATCCCCACAACCTCACCAAATTGAGGTGGTGCATACGCGCGATAATCGTGACCTCCGCCCAAAAATCCCCATCGCCGCCACCGACATTCTTCAAGCACTTCACCGCCACCACCCGCCCATCGCTCAATTTGCCCATGTAAACAACACCGAATCCGCCTCTTCCAATTACATTCGAGAAATCATTAGTGGCTACTTTAAGCTCGTTGTAACTAAACCTCTTGGGCCCACCGGAAGGCATGACTTCAAGCCCGAACGTGCTAGCCATGTCCCTATACTTGATATACTTCTTGAGAAACGCCCAAAAGAAGAACATGCCACTAAATAGCTCCGCCGCGAAGAGAGCGCATATAATCGCTATATTCCGACTTGTGGTTGTAGATTCTTCCGGAGGTTGAGGGAGCCTTATCTTCACCGGACACATAGTTTGCATCAAATTCGTCATGCCGGTGAAATTCGATACATCGCTTTCCGACGCGTCGACCCTCAAGAACATAGCGGTTTCCGTGCCCGGAGACCAATATCCATCAACCATCGTATCCAATTGGAGAACGCAATAATTCGATCCGTCGTACTTAAACATGAAACCCAAGCAATTCCGTTCGGACAAACAACGGGACTCACACGTACTAAAACTGTGAACCTTGATGTCGATTTGGTTCGACCCGCCCGTGAAGTTAACGAAATCGAGTTTCAGAAACTTGCTTTTCTCGGCTATTGGAATCTTCAACTCGCACGAATAACCATCGGATTCGGCCCCCTTCCGATAACCGGGCGGGCAAACGCAGGACGTCGAAAGTTTCGACGCATCGTACAAGCATATCGAGTTGGGCCCGCAAGTACCGTGAATCGTACATAGTTGAAACTGCGCTTGCCATCCGACAATCCATTCACTCGACAATTCGTCGTAGCTATACAGCCTGAGGTTCCCATCTTCATCGAGGGTCAACCTTCTCAACTTTTCGACACCGAAATCCGAGGCGTAATACATACTGTTATCGCCGTACGAAACAACACCCAAATTATCTAGAATCATAAACGTCTGATTGCCTGAATTAGTCCAGTAAGTGTCGTTCCTACCGGTGAAAATCAGCTGCCGGGAATCGAACATGAACTTGCCGTTTTTCGAAACGAGAATCGTTTCGTTTATTTGTTGACCGGGGAGAATCGTGTTTGTCGGGAAAAAGAAACTTCGAAAACTAGCACCGTAGACGAGGTTACCTGTGTTGAGTAGCGAAAGCCGAGTTCTGTTGGCGATTCCGGCGGCCGGAGAAGGCCAGAGATTCGGGCCGTTGACGGAGGAATTGACTAGCCGGAGCTCGCCGGAGGTGGAGATGAGCAGAGAGGCGGCGGAGGAAACGGGGGAGAGGGGGTTGGCAGACCAGACGACGTCGTTTGAGGAGATGTTGTGGTACCAGACGGAGAAGGTGTAGAGAGATGGGGAGTTTTCGAGGCGGCGGAATCCGGCGGCGAAGACGGAGTTGGGGGAGAGGAGTATCTGGTTTTGATTGGGCCGCCATGGGGAGGCGGAGGAGGAGAAGGAGGAGATGTTGGTTTGCTGTTGGGAAGAGGAGGGTTTCAGAATTGAGGCTGTGAGGAGGAAGAAGAAGAAGAGATGTAGAGAGAGAAAATTGTTGGAGGAAGGCATGGTTGGGTTGGGTTAATAAACTGAGTGAATTAGCTGAAGCTTTTTTTGGGGGATTTTAATGGCGGATTCAATCGCATGGAAAATAAGGCTCTGTTTGGTGAGCGTTGAATTCAACTGCGTGGAAGAAAAATGGTGTAAGCACAGTGGGCAAACAGAGCCTTATTTTATTGGTCAGCGTTGAATTCAAACCCAACTAGGAAGGAGTTGAATACACAGTCTTGCCCTTCTACTTGCTCTCAAGTAAAATATATTTTTATGAGCTGTGTTATTTTCCAAATCCAAATTATCTCAATTCACCACTAAGTTTATTTAAAATATCGAAATTATCCTTAAAATTTCTAATTCACCGTCCTCTTATGCTTATTTCCTCCTCCATTTCCTGAATGTAACTTGCGTTATGCAACAAAGCAATTTCAAAAGTTAAAACAAGATTCTAATAATCGCTCAATTTTAATCCACGAAAAACAACAATATAAAAAAAAAAAAAAAAAATTCTTTTTAATTATTTCTACACAAGCATTCTTAATTTATTTATTTTTTTCTCCGAGAACGTGAATTCTTAATCCTTGTGACCTTCTGGTATTTTTCTCTGATGAAGGTGCCGTTCACTTAAGGTGGAGATGATGAGATTTTGTGGTGAAGATTCTAGTGAAAAGTAGTGGAATTTTTTATGTGAATATTTTGGTTGAACAATTTTTAAATTTGTATAAAATATGTGTGGAAGAGGAACAAAAGGGTAAAATAAAAAATATATTTAATTTGGTGGTGAAATAAGATATTTTGATAGTGGAAATAACACGTTTCGTTTTTATTTTAGGTTAATTATAAATTGCACTCATGTACTCAAGGTTGTAAAAAGTGGTAATCGGGTCGGAGGCGGTCAGGGACCGACTCACGATTAATCGGTGCGGCGGTGATTAATCGATGATAAATCGGAAATAAATCGGTTTTTAAAATTTAATATAATATATTTGTAGGTATTATTTATAAATACTCAAAACATAGATAAAAAGATATTTAAACATAGTTATATCTCCATCGTGTATATATCCTAATAACATAATAAAAGTTTAATAATAATAAGATCATAATACATAAATATCCTTATAAAATATAAATAAAAAGGCATTTTTTTTTAATTTACATATATTCCTAACATACATCATTAGTTCTTTAACAATAATAGTTAACATAAACAAAATAAAACATAAATTCATTTTTTTTAATTAAAACCCCAACTTTTATTTTGAATTACTATAAAGAAAAAAAAAACCGATTTTTGACCGATTTTTGCCACCGAAATTTGACCCGCCTTAAAGGTTTGACCGCCTCGGACCGCCTCAAACCGCCTCACAAGCAAAAAACCGATTTTTCAAACCTTTACACTAAAATCGTAAAGGTTTTGGACCGCTTCCGCCTTGGAGACCGATTAATCGGCCGTCTAGGCCGATTTTTAGAACACTGATTACTGGTGTCGTATACCCTTCTACAATAAAATGAGATAAAGCGGCCCCTCAACTTAACGGTCAACTCTCAAATATGTAACACCGTTAGTTTATATAGCGTAGTTACCTTTTTTCCCTTACATTTATATGATATAAATATGCATTTTTTGACTTTATTACTTGGCTAGTTTTTTTCGTTATTACGTAGCACTCTGGTTACATCGACAAGTAGTTCTAGAAAAATATATCATGTAGTGTTTGGACATAAAAAAATGAAATACATTGGGGATGTTTGGTTATGTTTCCAAAACGAATTTCTAGTTTTCAAAATTTCTGATGGAAAAAGTAGATTATTGGTTTTTGTGTAGAAAATGGGAATATGTTTGGATGAAGGTGTATTTTTAGTTTTATGTAGGTGTAGAAATGAGAATATGTTTGGTTGTGGTGAATTTTCTCTACGAAAGTACGTGCAAAAGTAGAATATAATGATTGATGATGATGATAGTGATGATGATGATGATTATTATAATAATAATAATAATAATAATAATAATAATAATAATAATAATAATAATAATAATAATAATAATAATAATTATAATAATTATTATTATTATTATTATTATTATTATTATTGTTGTTGTTGTTGTTTATATTCTTATATTATTATAATTATTATTATTTTATTATTTATTAGTATTATTATTACTATTATTATTATTATTATTATTATTATTATTATTATTATTATTATTATTATTATTATTATTATTATTATTATTATTATTATTATTTTATTATTATTATTATTTTATTATTATTATTATTATATTATTATTATTATTATTATCATCATCATCATCATCATCATCATCATCATCATCATCATCATCATCATCATCATCATCATCATCATCATCATCATCATTATAATTAT